TTCCTTAGCCATGTATATGCCTGTTGTATGTAGTACTCGGTGCTGTGTGCCAGGATTATAAACACAAAAGGGAAATTGATCCTTGCCCTCAAGGAGCTGACATTTTTTTGGGAGAAAACAACACATAGACCGAGAGGTATAGAGAAAGTAATTTCCAAAAGGGCAGGGAGGGAACTACCTACTGGGGACGGCAGAATAAGCCTGAAGTAGAGGTGGTACTTGCCCCTAAGACTTAAAAGATGTTTAGAGTTTCTCTGAGATAGAGGTGAGGAGGGAGTGCCTTATCGTGATGGAAAATCTGCAGAGTAACTCCTGGAGTTGCATATGCACATTTGTGGAATCCCCCTACCCCCACCTCAATTCACAGTTGATATAATTTAACTTTTTGTAATTACACAAAGGAGGAGGAGAGGTAAATTGAAGAGGTCCACCAGTGCCTCCCCTCTCCAAATGTGAGCAGGGCCTGACTTCTTTCTATTTGTGGCCCCCAGCAATTAGCACAGAGTTTTGCAATTAAGCATTTGCTAAGTGCATTTTCATTCATTCATTCATAGTATTTGGTTATGCTTTGACAAAGTTTTCATTTCATTCCTCCCGGTCTCTTAGTAAGTCTTTAGAATCACAGGGTGATCCTTGCCTTCCTGGTCTCGGAGAATAGGTTCTCCTCAGTGCAACAGTACTGAACAGTCTGAGTTACTGCTGGAAAATGAATGTTGATGATTTTTTCCCTTTCCCTGTTGCAACTTGTCTGCCAGCATCCCTTGACATGCGTTACTTATTTATCTCGGTTCCTTTACATTCCAAAGTGGGTTATAATTTTTCTCTTGCTATTATCTGACAACAGTCTTTTTTTTTCTTGGCTGGGCTGCATTCTTCACATGTTTGGAATTTTTAGAAGACAAGCTGAGAAAGAGTGAGTGTCTTCAGGCTAGGAGGTGCAGAACACCTTTGTGCTGCTAAATTACTCCAGAGGGAGAGCCTTGTCCAGACTTGCTGCTTTCCGGTTCCCTTCCTGCTAAGCTGGTTTTCTTCCTCTGAGGTCTGTGGAGCTGCACTGGGGTTCTCCAGAGATGGAAGGTTTTCCTCCCGCAGCTGTTTAGAGCTGAACAGAAACTAAAATTTCTGGGCAGCCTGAGAGCCCGCTCTAACAGCTGCCAGGGACAGTGCAGTTTTGGAGAAACTTTCTTACTGGGAGACGACGCGGCTGGTTTTGTATTTTCCTTTAAAGATAAAAGAAGTGGAACAAGAAGGAAAGAATGAGGGAAACACTTTTTATAGGGTCCATTGTTCTCAGGTCCAAGTGAGTTGAAGCCACTGTATTGGGACCTCTTCCTGACCACTTGTGCTTTCCCTATATTCCTTCCCTACAGAGACAATACCATTCTTGAACAGCAGTGACCTAAAAGACCATCTATGTACAAAACTGAAAAATACAGATTGAAAAAGAGCAGAACGAGGGGCCTGGAGGAGGTGGCTGCATGCAAACTCCTCTAGAGCTTTTTGCTCCCATGGCATATTAAGATATGAGTAGTAATGCCATATTAATAACTGATTCCCTCCATTTGGTCTGGAACTCGCTTTGATCTCCGCTTAAATCACAGTGATTTCATTAGCTCCCACTATAGGAGACATTTCAAATAATTTCATTTAAATTTGTTGGGAGTCTAGGACCCTGTCATGATTTAACGATGTATACAAATGTGGCCTAGCCGCCCTGACAAATGGCATAAACAATGAGTCCATTTATCATCATAGCATGAAGAGAATGTAATGACCAGCACTCCCTGTGTGGGTGCTCATATCCCCATTCTCCACCTACAGCTCACACCATACCCCTCCCCAGCATCAGATTATACATTTATGTCTTAAGAACATTGCCTGGTGGTGTCCCAGCTGTCCAACCTGCTATACCATGCTGGAATTTTCGGTGCGGTAGCATCTGGCTTGTTGGCAGGACCTACAGACAACTGTTACAGCTGCCTTTTGGATTATTGGGTATCTTGAAGCTGGAAAGACTCCATGATCTGACCCCCTGTTCCTGAATACTTTCTTTTAACTTTCTTTCAGTGTGAGAGAAACATGAAGATTTTCACGGAGCAGATTGTACCATCCTAAAACAAAGCCTTAAATGCATTTTTGTTCCTTACAGACTTCAGTTGGGATTTTTCCTTCCTGTAAATTTTTTTTTTTTTACTTTTTGGCTGTGCATTTGGGGTCAAGTGACTTGCCCAGGGTCACACTGCTAGTAAGTGCCCAGTGTCTGAGGTCAAATTTGAATTCAGCTCCTCTTGACTCCAAGGCTAGAGCTCTACACTCTATCCCTTGCACCACCTAGCTGCTCCCACTTTCTGTAAATTTCTGTAGAAACCTCAGGATCATTTTCAGTTTTCTGAATCACAGATTTTTCTGATCTCCAAGTTGTCCAGCTAGTTCAGGTTGTGCAAAAGCCCAGGACTGGAAGGGGAATGGGAAGGGAAGGGAATGAGCATTTCTGTATCGCTGACTGTTTGCCAGGGACTATACTATGTTAAGCTCTCTTTTGCAAACATTAACTCATCTGATCCTCACAATAATCCTGCTGTCATGATCCCCATTTTACAGTTGGGAAAACTGATGCAAAAAGAAATTCAGTGACTTACCCAGGGTCATACAGTTCTGAATGTCAAAGTGAGATACAAAGCCTGACTCCAAACGTGCTTGACTCACTGGGGCCATGATTCTGTGTTGTGCTGGTCATTTGATTAGTAGTACCCTGTATCTTTGTAAGGTTTTTATTAACCATCTCTCATATAAAGATAATTTGCCATCTCTGTCTGACTTTAGGGAACTTAAGACCTTTTTTTGGGTCACTTCTCAGGTTCAACAGCTTCCTCTTCTATAACTGTCAATCAGATGTTTGAGTGTTTAGTGACCAAATCCAATAACTCTTCATTCTCTTGGCATCTTTTTATGATTTTAGTGTGTAGTTGAGAAAACAGTCTGAAGACACTCAGTACTTTCCCTTTCCAACCGCTAACACTAATAATTTGCATCTATAAAGAGCATGTAAAGAAAGTACTTTCCTTACAGTAGTACTATAAGGTAGGTAGTACAGATATCATTGCAGCATGCCCCCCACCCCCTGTCCCCGCCATGTTATAAGTGTGTAAACTGAGGCTCTGAAAGTCTAATTGACTTCTCCATAATCACATAGCATGGATAGAAGGTAAGTGATTTAAACCTAGATACACATTGGACAGGGGCAGGAATCAGGTCTCTAATTTCCATACTTCCCAGGGAATTAAGACTTAGAACCAATCAATCATTCATTGTTTTTTAAGTGACCGCTATGTGCCAGGCCCTGTGCTAAGCACTGGGGGACACGAAAAGAGGCAAAAGAGGTCCCTGGTCTAGAGGAGATTTCATTCTAATAGGAGAAATGCCACATAAACAAACATATACAAAGCAAGCTATATACAGGATAAATAAGAAAGAATGAGCAGCGGGAAGGCATTGGAAGTAAGAAGGGTGGGAAAAGCTTCCTGGAAAAGGTGGGATTTCAGTTGGAACTTCGAGCAAGCAAGTGAAGGCATTTTGTGAATCTCACATAGTCATTTCCATTTGTCTCTATCCTGTCTTTATGTCTCAGAATTCAAATAATCAACCTGTTTTCTAAGCTCTGAATCCCTAGTAATTCTGCTGTGGCTGCCTCTGTATTACTGACCATAACAAAAGAAGAACCCGGCCACCAATTGGCAAAACAGCAATTTTTGCCTAATTTTCTTTTCTACTGCTGCATAGTCCTGTTCTTCATCTTCATCCTTGTCCTAGCCATCTGACCGACATATGATGCTCACTGTCAGAGGATGTAGACATTGCCCCTTCCCTGAAGGTCCCCAGCCTTCCCAGAATAGTGGCCAACAGGGGCGCCCTGATTTCTATCCAGAGTGTTGTTATGCACTGTCCATTCACTCATTAAAACTTCCCACACCCTTCTGGAGAGACAACTCCAAACACGGCATGCCCTGCTGATGGTGGGTCAAGTGCTTTATCCATGTCAGCTTGAACCGGAGTAGGGGCACATGACTCACCCCAAGATGACCTTAACTGAATATCCAGATGTGACTCCTCCAAAGTACAACCCTCTAAAGAATGGGAACCAAAGCAAACATCCATGACTGGCCATTTGAAACATGAGCAGAATCAACCCTTTGGTACCTTGCTACCTTTGTCATGCCTCACCTAGGCCACATCTCTGAAATTCTGTTGTATGTTGGAGATGGAATAAGCCTCTTAGAGAATTGTGTTACTTGCATACTTTTTAAAAATTGCCTTAAATTTAAATTTTATTGAAATTATCATTTATTATTATTATATTATTAATAATAAAAATTATTGTTAAAATTTTAATTTTAAAATTGCCTAGCTTTTTGCTGCTTTGTTAAAAAACTTTAACCCCACCCTTACTGTCTGTTCCAGTGGGACTTTTTTTGGGGCTCCTGGATTCCTAGAAAGCAAAGCTGTTGTCTGTTTCACAGGGGAAAAACCCCAAGCCAGCTTTGAAGAGTTAATGATAATGGCTTATATTCATATAGCCCTTGAAAGGTACAAAACACTTTTCAGGTCTCTACCTCATTTACTCTTCACAGCCACCCTATGAGGTAGATGTCAATATGAATCCCCATTTTACAGATGAGGATACTAAAGATTACAGAGATTAAGTTACTTGCCTAGGGTCACACAGCTAGTATCTGAGACATGATTTCAGTGCAGGTCTTCCTGATTCCAAGTCTAGTCCTTTATCTCATGTATGACCCCCAAAAGATCATCTTTGTGGCTGACTTTTATTTTTTTCAGGCTTTGTAAGGTCCTTCCATCCTGCCTTTGGGGAAGGGGTGTATCAGTTTAGTCAAAGATGCAGCCCCCAAAATATCCCAGTGAGAATGCTCTAGTGATGCCCTGGACTCACCTGCAGTGAGTTGTGAGGGGTTAACATTATGTCTCTTGTTTTTTTTTTCTAGTACAACAAACATCTCTTCGTGCACATTGGCCATGCCAACCATTCTTACAGTGACCCATTGCTCGAATCTGTGGACATTCGTCAGATTTATGACAAATTTCCTGAGAAGAAAGGTGGCTTAAAGGAATTGTTTGGAAAGGGTCCTCAGAATGCCTTCTTCCTTGTAAAGTTCTGGGTGAGTAAGATACAACTGCAGGGTGGTTTCCATAGATTTGTCACAATATGTGTGTTCTGTAATGCAGTCCATTGTAGCCTGTGGTCCCTCGGTAAGGGGCCTTGGAGTGCATCTTTTTGCTCATCTCTCAATCAACACCAACTCAGGTCTTTTTCTGGTTGTCTGGCAGCGCTGGGGGTTGCCTGAGGTGGTTGTATAATACAACAGTCCCCTGTAAAGACAAGAAAACCATATTTCACAGTATGTGCAGGCAATCCTCAATTTCAAGAAAATGGATTTTTAAAGTGTTGATTGTTGTCTGGGGACATGGAGCATATTTCCTGACAGAAGTCATGCTGTACATCGGTGGTGCCGAACTCCAATAGAAAAAGGGGCCACTAATCCAACTCTAAGGATCCTTGTGGGCCACATATTGGCTAGTTTTTTAAATGTAATTTTATCTGTGTTTTATTGTATTTTAAAATTTTTTGTTAAATATTTCCTAATCACATTTTAATCTGGTTTGGGCCCACTGGGGAGTGTTGCAGCTTGTATACATGCCTATTTAACTCATAAGATGAATGAACTATAATCCTGATAGTACTAGCCTGGAGTTCTGGGTCTTTGCAATTAGGATTACATGGAATGCATCAGCAAAGGAAAAAATGAGTCTCCCACCCTTCTTTTTTTCAGAGCACAGACCTTGACAGAATGGGCCAAAATAGTTGTTGACATCCTCCTACCTCCTTTTCTTTACCGTTCTCCCACCTATCAGTGCTCTTTTCCTCAGTCCCCCTGATGTTGTCCTGCGATCCCCTCATACGTCCCCACAACATCCTCTCACCGCTCCAAATTCTTTTATACCATAAAACCTCCCTGTATAATTTTTTAAAAAAGAGATCTCAACTGCTATTGTTATTGGCACTATAGATCACAAATTAAGGTTTGGAAGAAAGCAGTCTGATCTAGGATCCTAGAATCAGACTTAAAGCTGAAAGGGATGTTAGAGATCATTTAGTCTAATCCCCTTATTTTACAGATGAGGAAACTGCAGATTAGAAAATAAAATAATTTGCCTAAGGTCACACTAATCACTTGTGAGTGACTGAAAAGTCTCTTCTTCCTCAGAAGTTCTTAAAATTTATAATTAAAAATTTTTTTTAAAAAGAGAAGCTTGTTAAAAACTCCCATTGAATCTTGAATTGGTGGCATTTCAGGCTAGGGAAGAAAGTGAATTTTTTTTTTAAATCAGCTTGGTGAGGTCCTAGATTAGTTTTTATGCCAGCTCCCTACACTCTGATACTGCCTTTCATAGCTTCTTTCCTTCCTCCCACTAGCCACCCACATTCTCCTAAAAGGTCTAAGTTGTTTCTGACAATGACTCCAATATTAGATGTTCCAGGGAGAGGAGGAAAGGGGAAATTGTGCTCGATGCTGCCATATGTACTGTGGGGGACAGTTTGAAACATGGGTTCTCTGCCAAACACTGCCAGTTTGTCCCATAAGAGGTGTGTCATAGAGGGATGGCCCATTCCAGAAGAACAGTGTTGTGATGGGGCGTATGACTCAATGATATTACATAGTGGGGTTTTCTTGACCAAAGTTGAGTTTGGTTATAATTTATTAAGTTTTATTGAAAAAAACAAGTGTTGATTAAAGCAAAATGAACTGCTCTGTTTGCCTATGCAGGAAACAGAGGTGAGCTAGTGGTTTTTATTTATGGTGCAAGTGGACCTTTGTCCAATTAGTCAGGATGGAGCGTCTTGGATGAGTGAATTTGAGAGAGGGTTTTCAGAACAGGTGGGGACACTAAAAACCAAGCCTCATTTTTAATCCCCTTCTACTCATTAAATAAATAAACATGCCTGGAGAACTAAGGAACTCAGACAGCTGGTAGACTTCACTGAGTGTGTGTGCTTTCTGATTCACAGGCAACCCCCCAAAAGTTAAAAATTACTCTGTCCGATAGGCAGCAAAACCTGGTTAAAAAGAGTAGAGACACAATATTCTGGCCGCTAAAAGCCTCCTTACTCTTCCCAGGTATGATATTGTGCTGACCTCCGCCCTGGGAGAATCCATTCAGCTTGTCTTTTCTCTGTTTCTTCTTCTTTGCATGAGGATGAAAAAAGCTGGAGCCTGGCATTTTGGCCACGTGTGAACTGAGCTCCAGTTTATAAAGCCCTTGGAGTGTAGTTTGCAGATGCTCGACGTGTTTAATTTCCTCTTACTTTGTTAATGTGTTAGCTTCTGGACTAAGGTTTCCACAACGAATTTCTACGGACTTGAATTGTGAACTATCCCAAGAACACTTCTTGCTGATCAACAAATGTCTGACGAAAAATCTGTTTTCTGAACTGGGAGCCGCCATCTAGTGGTTTAAATAGAGAGATGCTCATCAGCGTGGAGGGCGGGGGGGAGTGCAGTAAAATATTATATTACTGACCCATGAGACTTGAGGCCTTAAGTAAATATGGGTTGAGAAATAAGGAACTCAGACAGCTGGAAAACTCAACAGGTGTGGGAAGTCCCATCCAAATGAATGAAATAGAAATGGAAATGGTAGAAAGGTTTTTAAAGAAATTCCATCTTGTCTTTCTTGTATCTGCTTCCACAAGTTTGTAGGAATCACTTCTCACTGGCACACTGATTATAGACAAAGGTCAGTTGCTGCAGAAGTAGTTTGGAAAGTACTCAGGCATCACTTGTTTACTTTGACTCTTCAGCAGGTTAAACATTCCCCCAGTGTTGTTTATATGACCAGCATGCTCGACAGATGGGGCCAAGGACTTAGAAATTAATGGGCTTCAACTCAGAGGTGTGTTGGACACAGCCCAGTGTTGTATGCAAGACAGCCACATCTAAAAACTTATGTCAGCATCAGCCCCTGATTTAATATGATGAAGAATAATGTAATGATCATAATAATAGCTACATAGTGCTTTGTGGTTTGCAGAGCACTCTATATGTGATTTCATTTAATACAAGAATCCTATAGGATTACAACTCAACATTTATAGAGTGCTTCATGGTTTATGAAGTGCTTTTACAGAGCAGTAGAATTTTAAATGCTTATTTTTTTTGATTTTTTTTTTTTTTTTGCTGAGTACAGTAAATGGTACAGTGGGAAGATGGCTGTATTTGGAGGCCAAGGACCTGAGATCAAATCCAGGTTCTGTTACTGTGTGGACTCTCTGGATCTCAGTTTTCCTCATCCATAGGGTGGTGAGCAGCTTGAACTAGGTGACTTTTCATGTCCCTTTCAGCTCAAAATCTTGATCCTGTGATCATAAGATTCACCTCGCTTGAAGTTAAGACCTGGTTTCACATTCTATTTATTCTGTCTATGGCAATGAGCAAGTCACTTAACCTTTGTAGTGCTCCTAAAGTATTTGAGGTTAGTCTTCTTTGAAGTATTGTCTTTGTAACTTTCTTTATATTATTCATTAATTTAGCAAGTCTTTTCATTTCAACAAATAATTAAGTTGTGTATTTGTTTGTATACGTTGTTCAGTCATTTCAGTCGTGTCCCCATTTGGGGTTTTCTTGGCAAAGATACTGCAGTGGTTTGCCATTTCCTTCTCCAGCTCATTTTACAGATGATGAAACTGAGGCAAACAAGGCTAAGTAACTTGCTCAGAGTCACACAGCTAGTAAGTATCTGAAACCAGAGTTGAACTCAGGTCTTCCTGACTCCAGGTCCAGCACTCTATCCGCTACACCACCTCACTGCCTTTACGGCCCGAGGACCAGGGTCCAAATTCCATCTCTAATGCTATCTCACTAGGCCTCAGTTTCCTCATCTGTAAAATGAGGGTGTTGCACTAATAGATAACTGCTGAGGCCCTTCCAGATCTAGACCTCTGATTGTGTGACTTTTCAGGTGTTCAGGATGAATGTCAGGCCAAGGGAGAAAGGTATAGATTTCTGTTGTTCTAAAGAGGAGAGGCCAAAACTAGAGTAAACAGGGTGGTGATTCTCTCTTGCTCACTTGAAAAAGATAAGTGGGACATCATTTGTGTTTGCTTTACTGGGGTGTGGGGAGCAGGACGGTGGGTGTAAGGAAATGCAGAGGCTGAGGAGCCCTCTGGGAAAACAGTTTCCCTCATCCCAAATCAAAGGACAGATTTTAAATCCTGAAGAAAGAGAAAAAGGAAGGAAGAAGGAAGAGAGGGCAATGTTGGGCTCAGCACTGAAGTTCTCCAAATGATCCAGGCTCTCCGAGGCAGCTTTGTGCAGATGCTTGTATCTTCAAAGGATTCGAGTCAGAGTCATTTGACAACATGACAAGACGCTGTAGATAAACTGCCCAGGTTTTATTTAAGGAGAAGAAACTGGGGGACGCGTTAAACAAACAGATTGGGCTCCCTCGGGGCTTGGATCTGTTTCTTATTGAATTGCATCAGATTTAAGATGAAATAATAGGCCTGAGTCTCTCATTTTTATGCCTAATGTCCTGGTTGCTATTCGTGGAAGGGGGAGTTTCAGAGGACAGAACAGTTTGGTCTCCACATGCTTTGAATGACTATTAGTGGAAATGGCTTCTTCCCGTTCAATTTCCTTTTTTCCTCAGCTGGTATCTTGTCTCAAAACTTCTTAAGTTCGGAAGAATATTGCCTTTCCATGGGGGTGGTGAAGTAGTTTTGGGGAGAGGAAGAGTGGCAGGAAGTCCAGCACCCAGCCTTTATTTTCAGACGGCAAGGTTGTTGTTAGCAATTGTTGTTAAAGCTTCTGCTGAACGCACCGTAGATATTTAACTGCCTTCCTTCCCACTGTGTTGGGTTTTTGGAAAGTCAGAAAAAAAACGCTTTTCACACGTAGCCCTCTTGCATGCTGGTCATTGTTGAGGCTGTGCTGTAGCCCACTTAGAGTACAACACCGATTTTGATTGACCTTTGTGTCATCTATAATTGTGAGTCTTCTGAGATTGTGGTGTTCCATGATTCACAGCCGTGGAACCTTACTGGGAGAATATTAATTGCGTTAAAAACGCAAGATTTTGTAGCAGGTAACACCTTGTCTCA